AGGGGGGTTTTCAGGTGGGTTCCGGGCGGGCATGGACTCTCGGGAGGTAACCAACCGTGTGGGCGGCGCTAAATGTCGAAAGTGCAGCCCAGCTGTCGGTGGGGGGGCGTGGTCCGCTGCCAGGGGCTGAAGGTTGAAGGCGGTATATATGGGAGGTTAGAGGTCGAGTTTGTGGGAGCTGGGAGTTTGGGGGCATGGCAGCAGCTGGCACTTGACATGATCAACGGCAACGAAACAACTCGAGGGCTTTCAACTACTCTCGCACATTTCGCTTCCGCTTAGAAATGGCAAAAACACGTCCCCGTACCCACTTTTAAACACAAACCCCACCCACTGCTCCATTCCCAACCCACTGGAAACCCAACCACACAGCATACAACACTTGTACCCACTGTTTGAAAAATAAAGTGTAACTGGAAAAGCTGAAATGAGATATACGGGCAAACAAAAAATGAGACAGAGGCCACGGGGCACCGCAGGATGGCAAATTTATAACTTAATATCAGATTGTGTCGAGTGGTTGGGCCACTTCGTAAATGCCATTGCCAAAGTGTATTTAATTATGACCATTTTGCTAACTCAATTGTTTACCATTTTCGGTTTATTCATTTAAAAAGTAATCGTCGCAAATGGGATATATGGAGTTATTAAATCGATTCGTTTGAACTAAATGTACATAGCAATTCTTGTTTGGCACTATCAAATAAATTATATAAAGCAACAATTTACATTTTAATATTTTATTACTTTAGGCCTTAGGCTAAATGGCTCTTTCTTGATTTTAATCTAAATGACTGCATTTATTTTAAAAGGTCTTGGTAATTTAATTCTTATATGTATATACATAAATTGTAGCTAAGCTGTAGGGCATTTTTTCTCCATGCTTACATAAATTTTTAAAACGTATCCAGTCACTTTGTCAAAATAAAGCAAGTGCCATAAAGCCTTTAACTTTAAAAGAGGAATTAAATCAGCCAAAATCTATTATCATTTATCATATAAAAATCCAAGGTGATACAGGAAAATGTATGGCCCATTGTACAGGCCGCACAATGTGGCTTAATGTATTTTAACGCTTTCGGCAGGAAACATAAACTTGGGGAATAAAAATAAAATAGCAAAAATGAGCGGGCACAAAGCTTGGTTTTGTCCAGGACTCCAGGACTCCACGGAGCACTTACGAGGGAAGTATAGCTCAAGGTATCAGACAACTGTTGTTTTTCCCACGCCTCCCCCAGTATCTATGAATCCTCCAGAGACGACACAAGACTTAAACACAAGTTACAAGAGCGTTAAATTACAATGCTTTTGACAAATCATCGGGCAAACAAGGCAGCACAAGCCGCGCTGTCAATAGGACATTAGAGGCGGCTAAGAGGAAAAACCATCGGCTGCATCAATCATAAATATTTTAAGCCGCAAACACTGGCTGGATGGCTTTGTGCCTTTGTGCTTTTGTGCTGCGGAGCGAGTGTGTGTGGGAATGCGTGGCTAATTGCATTACCGGGCAGCAATGTGGCTCAAATGCCAGAATGCCAGAGCATCAGAATGCCAGAATGCCAAGACACGGCCTGATAAGCCTTCGTGGCTGCCACCGGGCTCGTGGCATTTGCGTCAATTATGGAGTTTTGCAGCCATTAAATTTTAATGAGAACTGCTTGGTTCGCCCCATGTCGCTCAACAGCTAGTCAAGCGAAAACGGCCTTTGGCTAAAATGCATTACCGACTTACCATTCAGCAGCTTACATTTTTACACGTCATTGGATTTAGTCAAATCCTATTGTGGAGGCGCCACAATTAATGTGTGTGTGTATTTTCAACTTTCAATTTCGCCCTTCTGTAAGTGCATTTAACGTAGCATAAAATTGTTGACGGCCTGCAAAAGGTATTTAAAATTCATAGATCCAATTAGGGCTTAAACTGACCCATTTGCCGCCCTGTCGAACTTAATTTGGCTCGAGAGTGCATGCATTTGGCTAAAACAAAGCGATGGCCCATCGCATGACCAGGAACTATTTGTCCAATTATATGGCCCTTGTCGCATAAACCGCGAAATGTTAAATATGACCGATTTGCACTTAAGATAAAATTGCAATAGGGCCTTATGAGCTAATAAACGTGTCCTGAGCTGATTTAGTACAGGACCGCTAAGGGTTATTGAAGTGAAAACAAAGTACTTAAAATATAACTATATCCGGAAAAGATTCATGCACATATCATTTAAGTTCTAGAACCCCTAATAATGTAATTCAAAATAGTTTATAAAGAAGTTAAGATCGTATAAGATTATAATTGACAACCCAGAACCGCTCCTGGGCCGTCAGATTGTCATTACTGGCGTTGACTTTGGCCAACACCAGAATATGGTAACAGTAACAATAGTGATAAATGCTAGGCATGTCCCACAGCTTACTGGGTCCACATGCAAAGGGCGCAGCGTCCTTCAACTTGACAGTAACCCACTGGCATTCGCCGAACAAATATGGATAGTCGTGCTGCGGAACTTATTCTCCGCGAACGGGACATATTCCTATCTGGTTCCGAGAACATCATCTTGCTCAACAACTCTTTCGTTTTGGAAATGTTCTTCAGGATAACGCAGCTGTATCACTTTAAGAACTTCATCTTCTACATATCCGAGAGACTGGACCTTAAGAACAAGGACTCTCAGGACTTCTTTCACGACTTTTGGACCTACTTTCCCATGGCTCCCAACTTGATAATCACTCGGGAACACCAGGTGGCTACACCGATGATGCAGTTTATCAGCACTCCATCGATGGTGATGATCTTCACAACGGGCAAAGAGGATCCCATTATGGAGGTGGCTGCTCAGAGTCTGCGAGGGATTCGTTGGCTCAAGACGATATTCATACTCTTTCCGAGCCTCGAAAGTAGAGAGTTCGACTCGAGTCTGGAGTCATTGGCCCACTTTACGGCTGGGATCAAGAACATCTACGATTGGGTGTGGAGCAAGCAGTTCATCAACACCTTGTTGGTCACCATCAAGGATAGTGTCTTCGTGCTGGATCCCTATCCCACACCATCGGTGGTTAACAAGACGGGTGCCTGGAGGGCTGAGGACTTCTTCCAGAAACATTCTAAGAACATGAAGGGCTATGTGGTGAGAACACCTATCTTATACGATATGCCGCGGGTCTTCAAATCGGATAGGCCCACGAACAGATATGAAAAGAACTTTGTCCACGGCACCAGTGGGAACTTATTCCTGGGGTTTCTTGAGTTCGTCAATGCCACCCTTTTGGACACCAGTGTGAATATGACAGTTGGCTACTTGAATATGACAGACCTGCTGGATTTGGTCGCTCAAGGAGTGTACGAAACCCTCATCCACTCCTTCACCGAAATTACGACCAAGTATGTGGTCAGCTATAGCTATCCCATTGGCATCAACGACTGTTGCATCATGGTGCCCTTTCGGAACCAATCTCCCGCAGATCAGTACATGCAGGAGGCCCTCCAAAATAATGTTTGGATACTAATCATCCTATTTACTCTATATATAGCTTTGGCTATTTGGCTGTGTTCGCCCCTGAGACCTCGTGACCTCAGCGCCGCCTTCCTGCAGTCCATCTGCACTCTGACCTACAGTGCGCCCACCTTCATCATTCGAACGCCAACGCTGCGTATGCGCTATCTGTACATAGTGCTGGCCATCTGGGGCATAGTCACCTCGAACCTGTACATTTCCCGAATGACCAGCTACTTCACCACTGCCCCACCGCCGCGACAGGTGAACACGGTGCAGGATGTGGTCGAGGCTAACCTGCGGATCAAAATGCTGGCCGTGGAGCATGAAAGGATGGCCAAATCACCGTTGCAATATCCGGAGAGCTATATGCGCCAGGTGGATTTGGTGGACAAACACATGTTGGACCACCATCGCGACCCATTCAACACCTCCTTTGGCTACACGGTAAGCAGCGACCGCTGGCGATTCCTGAACATGCAGCAACTGCATCTATGGAAACCGATCTTCCGGTTGACCGACATCTGCGAGGGTCCCTTCTACCATGTCTTTCCCATGCACCGGGACTCCCACCTGCGCTCCCCCATGACCGAGTACATAATGATCGCCCAGCAGGCGGGCCTCATGAACCACTGGAAGCGCGAGGCCTTCTGGGAGGCAGTGCACCTCCACCGCATCCAGGTGCATCTCTTCGACGAGGAGCCCATTGCCCTGAGCCTCGACTTCTTCGTCAGCGTTCTGCGCACCTGGACTTTGGGTCTGATCCTGGCCGGACTGGCTTTTGCGGCCGAGATGAAGTGGCACGAGCACGTGACACTCAAGCGGCGACCTGTCATTGGACTGACCCGTAAGCCGAGGTCGTTTCTGCGGCGATTCATGAAGTTGTGAGGCGGAGAAAGCATACGAGTTTAAAACAAATTCGGTAGAGGATTAGACGTCATTAGGAAGGATATTAAAACCAATTATCACATTTTTAACACATCACCGATAATTATATTATAGTTATAATTTTTGTGTACAAATACTTTGTTTTTCTCAATAAACCATTTATAAGCAATGTTCAGAGAATTCAGTTATAACTCGGTTATTTATTTGAAATAATAATGGGTTGGCATTGTTTAACATTGTTAGGATTTTGAAGAATACCCGCAGTTTGTGTTTTTAAATCGGAGAGTACTGAACGAAATTAGTTTAACTACATTCCAGGAACCTCCAGCTTAGCTAGCTTTTTTATATTAAAGCGTCATAAGGATGGGGAGTAAAATATTGCTTACATGTAAGCTCGATATATTTATTTTTGAATATACATTTCAATATTCACAGTTTGAAGGAATGTTGCTTTACACTCTATGGGTTTACCTACAATAATGTTGAGGATGTGTACTTTAAAAATGAAATCTAAATGTAAATCTATGGGGGCTATGAAATCCCAGCGCTACCCAAGCCCGAGGAACACGAAATGAAGTTCGACTCGTTTTGATAAGTAGTTTTTCGTGTTTCACCTTGTTATTTACTGATAATAAAAAAGCAAGCTGGCACTGCTCCTGGAAACCATTTCCAGGACAAACACAATCCCGGCCAAGAAGCTCATGACCAGTAATAGAATAAAGGCAATTGCCAGATGCTGCAGTCCGGCGGAGGTGTACTCCCGATTCTCCGGCAACCGCTCGACCAAACCGGCATGGAGGGCAGACCCAAAGCTGCTGCGGGCATAGAAGTTGAGCAGTCCCATGGAGTGAATGCGGAATGTGAAGTACTCAATGTCGCGCCACAAGGATGAATCCATCTGGAGGGGAAAGGCAAGGTGGTAGGAACCAAAACAAATACCACTCAGTTTGAAGAGGCGCTGCTTAAGATGTTTCTGCTGCTCGTCGAGAAACTCCCAGTGATCCTCGGTGACGAAGTAGGCAAAGGAGCTATTGAACTTCGTCTGGTGCTCTGAGAAAATAGCTGAATCCACGGGACGTAGCAGTTTGAGGAATTCATCAGACAGCTCCTTATTCAGATTTAGCAGGAATTCCATCTCGTAGTCAATTATCATCACAGGCAACTGGGCACTCACTATGTCATCCATAGTGTTGATCTGTGCGTGGAATAGATTCACGGTCAGAATGCTGCCCAAATTGGAGGTGTAGTAGGCGGAAAGGAAGAATCCATGGAAATATACAGTGGCCAAGAGAAGAAAGCGAAGCAGGCAGGGCTGTTGTAACTGCCCCTCGGTGGGTACGTTGATGATATAGCAAAAAGAGTCCAATAGGGCGTCTTGATAGCCTGACCAACCTCCAAACATCCTGAGCCACATCAGCTCCAGAAGAGTCAATCCCACAAGAGCTCCCAGTGCGAAAAACCACACGTTCCAAGCGAAGGGCTGCAGGGGATAAAAGTAGGTGGAAACACTATTGTAGAGGGGAACCATCAGACACCACTGCACCACCAGCAGGGGGTACGTCTTCTCCAGCTCCTCATCGGGCATAAACAGGGCGTAGGCATGGGCACAGAACTCCATCTTGCGATCGCGAACTAACTGCAGGGCCTCCTTCATATTGATCACCTGTCCACCAAGAGCATCTCTTGGCATAATGAGCTCCGTAAAACTACCATTGATGAATTTCACAAAGGTATCAATGATCCTATAGGTACTACCTTCGTAGTGTCCCTGCGATTTGAAGAGATGTGGAAGATCCTGACGTAAGGGCGTGGTGAATCCAAAGCCACCCACATCAGAGCGGGCATTGAAGACCTTCTTCCAAACCTTTGCCATATACGTCAAAAAGTCCGTGCGGTTCTCGAAAGTCATGGTGGGGAACTTGGTAACCCCAAAGAGCTGGTTTACACCCTCCTCCGACTCAAAGTAAACCATGGAGTTAAGGAACTGCTCATTGTAGGCAAAGATCAGCAGTTCGTTAATCGGTTGCATTTCAGCCACCTTGTCCACGTACATTATCATCGAGAAGTAGAAGTGGCGCCCAAGCAAGACTTTACTAAACACCTTCATAATCGGATCCTCTGCTCCGGTGGTGAACACAAAGCTCAAGTGGTTCCTTCGGGCCGAGGAGTGAAGCATTCGCATATCCGTATTGTTGTTCACCACCGTCTGAGTGGCCGTCTCGCCAAAGGCCTCGTCTATGCGTATTATAAACTCATCCACTTGTTCCAAGCGCTGATGAGGACTTACGAACCATACGATCTCCTGGAACGCTTTAAACCGAGCAAATGGACCCAACAGATTGAGCACGTATTGCATGTTCCATCCATAGTTCGGATGAATTGATACCAATAGTAAAACACAAACCAAAATCGTTGCCTGCATGTCTTTCCTCAAGAAGCTCCACGAATTAATTGAACAGGTTAAATCGTTTGCCTCGATTGCATACTGTTCTTTTAGTTCGATTTAATTGTTCCCAGGGGATAACTTAAACATTGCCTCCCACAGCACCAATTTAAATATTATATATTAAATTGGAAGTTGTATTGTCTTTCTCATGTTTCCGAATCCTGAAACCGCTGACATTTTCAAAGGTATTAATATCATAATTCAGCTTTATCCTAATTAATCCCTTGACAGTTTTTTGTATGAATATGATAATTACACCAGTTTACAAAATGAAATCGTCAATGTGCTTCACAAAGCATAGTTCAGTTGTCCGGAAAGGTTGGGCTCCCCTATTAAGAATATAAACATTATTTCTTATGATACCATTATTTTTTAAAGACTTATTTAGATGCAAAAAAAAACCCAACATTCAAATTTTATGTGCCCTTTTCTTTGTCGCAGAGCTCAACCTTACCGAAAAACTAAAGTGTCCGAATTTTTCAATTTAATGTTATAATGTTATAATGTTATGTGTTATTAATACTAAACAAAGGAAAATTATAGTGTCAAATGGATTCTGGGACCTTCTGTATGTATGTATATAAGAATGTCAGCAGAAATGGAACGCACTCGAAACAAAAAATAGTTTAATCTATATTAAACATTCTAGTTATAGACATGATTATATAAACTCTTAGGACGGTCGAAAGTCTTAGCAACTATGGCCGATTCCTTCCTGTACCTTAAGTTTTAAACTTTTGACAACAGTGTACAATAAATAAATAAACTCTTAAGAATCTTTATTTATTCTATCAAGTGTGGATTGTCTTAGTGCTAAAACAATTCCTTGAATTGAGTAATTAACCAGCCACAAACTACCCATAGCATTCAAATCGTTCGTACTGTGGGCGTCTCGCCTGCCGACGATGGATATATAGCTCCAAGCAGTAGACCAGTGAGCTTATGGGTATCCCCAAGACCAGGACAACCCAGGCCGTGTTGAAGAACTCCAGGTTTAAGGGCTCCACAGGGTAAGTGTCCAGGAATACCTTCGCATAGCCAGCCTGCTTGGCGTATCGAAAGGCTAGCTCCTCCCAATAGTTCCACAGTCCCGCCTGCCAGACGTTCAGGATAAAGCGGTCCAGACTATCCGCAAAGCTGGCATTGGAGCCCATGGGTAGGGCGTTGAATAGACCACCGAAACACACCTTGGTCAGGTGGAAGTACGGCTGGATGAGCACCCGCTGCTGCCGGTTGAAGAAGAGCCAGGCATCCTGGGTCACCACATAGGCGTATGCCCGCGAGGGACTGGCCAGCAGGGCCTGGTAGTCCTGTCAGCTGCGCGCGTCGAACTGGGGATCCAGCGAGGTGGTGTTCACCACCGGCAACCAACGCAACTCCTCCAGCAGCGAGTCGTGGATGACGATTCGCAGCTTTGAGTGGATCAGATCCGACCAGGTGTCAATGGGCCGCAAGAACACCGGCTTCATGTCGAAGGCCGTCATGTGGCTGAGATGGTAGTTGGTCAGAATGAATCCAAGGACAAAGAGGAGTGTGTAGAAGATGATTACGCGCAGCGAGGCATGCTTCAGCTTCACGGTCATGTTCATGTTGGGGCTGAACATCAGTAAGGCCATGGCATGGAGCACGTTCCGGGTGAAGGAGCGGGTGGCATTTCCGGGCTCCCGCCAGTGCACAAACCTCAGCAGCAGGGCCACGTAGAAGGTGCCGAGGAAGAGGCACGTCCAGATGTATCTGCCCAGCGGCCACACCATGTACATCCATTTGGGCAACTCGGGAGCAAGGGGCACCATCACACAGTTCGTCATCATCTCCAGCGGATAGCTGTGCCGCGTGGCCTCCGAAAAGTCACCGATCTTGTCGGGTCGCATCGTAACCCCGTGCAGCGAGATGTTGTACACGCCGATGCCAATGTCCTCCTCCACGACCGACTTTTTGGGCAAACTCTCGACGGGATCGAGGAGCAGCCGGTAGTGATACGTCTCGGCGAAGTGCTTCACTATCTCCATGTAGGGACCGCAATAGATGGGCTCCAAAAACTCGGATTCGTTGAAAATGAAGGCGTGTGGAATGTCAAAACTATATGGCGAGCGGATCACACCACTCGCCAAGTCCGTGTCGAGCAGCATTTTGGGGTCGACTATTCAGATTGGCGTGCTCCTGGCCACGTTTATATAGCGGACACCTTTATCGATGGCACACGCAAAAAGTACTGACCCTGGCAGACTGGCTGGCACCCATGTGTATGGTATAGTATAGAAAATCCGGTTTGTTTCACTGCAAAGTTCAGAGATCCGCCGTTTAATGACACGTTTTTGTGTGCTGCCGATTATGGTCTAGATTGCAAAGCCATATGACCAACACATCGATGGGAAGGACTCTGTTATATGCCACTTATCAAAAATATTTTTGCGAATACGGCCTGGACTTTGTTACGAAGTCCAGCCAACCCACCCACACATGCATCCCAACCTTTGTGTAGTTATTGGAGCGCAAGCACTTTCACAGTTTACAAAAAGAGTCCAGTTTTTACCATATTCAAAAAAGCAGGCCACAATTCACAAAAAAATTCGTATGAGGACTTCACGGGTGTGGGATGGGAATGTGTATTTGAATTGGCAGCTTTCATGTAAATACTTTTCAATTTTTTAGGGTTTCGTCTGTGGAAAACTACGACGATTTCCACGTACACATCCAAAGCCCACGGCCACGTGTGTTTGCAAGTGGGCCAGAATAAAAACAAAACTGCCATTGAAATAATATTACACTTAAGGGTAATTACAAAATCGTTAAATGCTGAATTAAATGAAACTGGATTGTACAAGTTCGGATTGGAGAGTTTTGGTTGCTAGCAAGCGAAACCTGTTCATGGGGTCGTGAATGCAAAAGTTCAGCGAGTGCCGAGGATATATGTTTACATATATCTTGATAGCCAAAAGGCTGCCTATTATATTTATTAATTGAAGCGCAGAGCCAATAAAGTATCAATCCTGCTAAGGGTGAAGTGATAAAAAAAGTGTAATAATTTTGTATGAACAGCTCAAATAATGAGTATGAATAATGAATGCTATTTAAAAAGTAACTTTTAAAAAGTATTTGAACATAAAAGTGTGTCAGCGCAAACACCATTGAACAAGGTTTTTTTTTCATTGAGCTATACTTGAGTTACATGCAATCTGTTTGACCTTCCAATAAACCTGACATATGTATAATGTAAGATGATAATAATAGTTTAGAGTTGGAAATTTAAATTGTGAAGAATTGTATTATTATAATTAGCAATGGTATTTTATGATTTAAATCTATTTACTTTATAGTTTGTATGCATAGCTTAAAAACTATATCTTTTCGACTAGAAGAAAAGTATATAATCTTACCCCTTATCAACATCATTCTGTATTAGAACTTGTGTAGCTAAATATTATTATCATTTATTTATATTAGAATAGAAACATTAGCATAAAATGCAATGTACTACTTTTATAAATTAACAACTGATCTCCGGGAGAATACATTCATACCACCTTATTTATTAACCCTGTTTACATATATAAATCAATGAATAAATATATATTTATGAAATCTTTTCACTCTCCCATAAAATATGTACTAAATTCAAATAAATCTATTCCTTCAGGGTCGCAGGCATCTAAATTTATTCATATGTGGTTTATTTTTGGAACTTTTTACTTTGGCAACCACCGGCCACCCATATTTCGACCCTGAGAACGACCAACCGATGCTGATAGCAAAACCGAGCCGAATCGAAACGCTAAGCCCAGAACCACGCCCACTTCCCGGCCCCCAAAAACCCCACTTCTGCTGGCTTGGCAAATTCAAATTAATTTATGAGCCAAAATCTTGTTTATCGGCTGATGGTTTGTCGGTTTTGTGGGTTTGCCCGCCTCGCCCGAGTGCTTTAGACTTTCACTGGTTGTTGGTGCTGTTGTTGTTGTTGGTACTGCTGCGATTAGAGACGGTAGTTGTTCCATTGCTCCAAAAACGAGTTGTTTTAGAGCAAAGAAATGCAGTCAAATTGCCTTGGACAGATACACACACACGCTGCTTATGAGCGCGATTTTCGGTCGGTAATTCAAGTGCCTTCGTAGCCGTGATCGTCTAGTGGTTAGGACCCCACGTTGTGGCCGTGGTAACCCAGGTTCGAATCCTGGTCACGGCAATGCTGCAATACGCATTGTCACGGGAAGGATCTTTTTTTTATACAAATTCCGGCAAAATAAAGCTTAAGAAATATCTAACCTATCTTTAAGCATAGGCAGATACAATACTTAAAACATTACTGATCAGACGATCCCGATTTCATGTTTTATTTTTTTATGGTTCTTCTGTATGTTGTCTAATATTTTTGGGCAAAACCTTTGGGCAAAGCTTTACTCTATTAACTTGCATCTGCAAGGTATATATAGATTTTCACAGCTACTGGGGACCTGCTAGTATGTACATAGATGGAATAATTACCCTAGTAATAATTACCCGATAGCGTATCTTTATGTTGTCTTTTATGGTCTCTACAGAAAAAATCCTTATTTTAATTACATATTCTTTCATTATTACCTAGATTGACATTGAAAGCAGGGATATTTGTGATTCTTATTTTAAAAGGCCTACTAGAAATTTCTTATTTTAAAAGACCTACGGGCAATTTTGAATATAACGCTCTCTTTTATCTTATCCTTAAAGTATCCAACCATCAGCAGGTTTGAAAATCGAACAAAAATCGAAAAATCGAACCTACGCTTAAATTAAAAATGCATATAATTCCGCCTAAATAACTCTTATTTACTGTCCCAGCTTAAAAATGTACATTTATCGTAATCATTTAAATACTATCAATATGCACCGGGCAAATAAAATGCTGAGTACTGTTTTTATAAGGAACAACAATATTT